AATAGCCATCCCTCTCTCTGTTCCTCACTCCGTTGTAAATCTTTATTTGGACCAGAAGATGGCAGCATTTGTAATCCTTTCATGAAGATTTTAGATGGTTTGGTATGTTCTGCCTTGTGCTAATAAAAGCAAACAATGACACTCCAGGAAAAGAAGAAAAGGAGGAGGGGGATATTCCAAACGCTTTTGGCTTTAGAAAATGAGGAACATCTCCAAAGGTTGATCTTGTATTTTATTTTCTTGATAATTATCGGTTAGTGTTGCACACAGGTCAAATGCTTTCTCTTAGGCTCCAGGATTAGCGCAAATACCTCTGAGCTATTATAAGGACAGGTTTTTCCCTCCCTATGAATATGATCTATTGACTGCTCCAAACAGCAGCAGTAATTTGCAAGTGAATCCTGCTCCCGCATGGAGTATAAATGTTTAGGATTCCAACTTGCCAGCCATTCTTCCAGAATGCTCCTTTCTACTTCCACTCCACATTTTCTATTTCACATTTCCAACAGCCAACCAAAAGTCTATGGCTGCAAAGTACACTAAGTCCTCATTGGGCTGTTTGGGATGGGTTTCCCTTATGGTTTATTTATTTCTCTTAAGTTCCCCTTTCCCAAATCTGTGTTCCTCCTTGCCTCCTACACTTTTCTCTTTGAGAATGATGCTATTATAACTTGACAATTAAGCAGTACTTAAATAGTTAACAATGAATCTATTAGATCCTATTTTATAAAATGAAAGGCTGAAGATGGGTGAGTGGAGAGGGCATAAAGGGACAGCAAAGAACCTTTATCCCTTTTCTGATTTAACCCTAAGCCCCAAAAGAGCTATTCAAGTACGTGGGTTTTACAACAGTTCTAAACAGGTGTTTATGTTTGGACTTAAGTGAGTCTGTAATGGTGGTAGAGAGAACCTATGTAATACAATGCTTTGACTGTTAGACCAGGATGCTGGGAGACTTAAGGATCCCAATTAGCTATTTAAGTGTACTAGGTGATCTTGGGCAAGTCATACAGCCTTAGAGGAAGACAATGGCAAACCCCCTGTAAACAAAATTTTGCCAAAACAAACAAAAAACAAAAAAATCCTAACCATGATAAGTTTGCCTTAGGGTCTACATAAGCCAGAAATGACTTGAAGGCAAATAACAACAAACAACTATGGTAGCACAGCTTGGAGAAGCTGGTTGGAGGATTCAGGGAATTGTAGTCCAAAAAAGTGACTTTCCTAAACTCTGGGTGAAGGGGAATTGTATACAGTGAGCCCTTGGTGTCTGATGGGGTTCCAGGACACATACAGAGATG